GGCAGTTACAGTGTTTCCATGAAAAGAATTCCAGTCTCCTGAAACATCTATTTGTATACCTTTCCCCCTCTCCCTCCTCCCTTTCCTCCATCTCTTTGGGTCCTGAAGCTGAGCATGGTGAACTACACTGCCAGCCCTTTTCTTCTTTTTTTATTTTGAAACAGGGTCTAAGTCACTATGTTGCCCAGGATGGGCTCAAATTCTCCGTTCTCTTGCCTCAGCCTCCCAGAACGCTGGGATTTACTGGTATGCCCCACCACCCTTGGCTAAGTACCTCATCAACTTATAAACTTAGTTCCACACATCCTTCTCTGAGATTCCAAAATCCCCAACATTTTGAAAATTACAAATTTTGTTTTTAACTCATTTGGTGGCAAAACCTGGCCTGAGTTGCATTTATTTGGTGGCAAAACCAGACATAAAGCTATGTATAGTCTAAAGTGAAGGACCTTACATACCACAGGAATATAATTTTTCTTATTATATACTTCAGTCTGCATACATGTATTAAGTGATGGCTTTCCCAGGATTCTGTAACCTTCTAATAGAACAACTGGGATTTGCATTTTTATTTGAGTATGATTTGCTTACTTGGGGTTTGAATAAGTGAACCATAGTGACAGGAGCCTTAATGGACCATGACAGGTGACTCGAGTCACAAACAACTGTGCTGTCAGCAGCAGCACACACTGCAGTGCGTGTTTCTCAGATGGGCACAAACGTTTGGCAGCTCCTTAGTGACACCGGGGACAGACCTACCTTGCAGAGGGCCAGATACACAAGATTATCGTTTCTTACTTTGTTGCTTAAGTCAGTCCCGTGTTTAAATATATTGTGTTCCTCCACTTATGACCTAAGGGCTGACTCACAGGGAGATTATTTCTGGAGGCTGATGTTAGTCTTACTGTTGGTACAGAGCTCCAGACACAGAAGGGGCTCCTGGCCACCATGGTGTCTTGTGCATGGGGCAGGGCCACACTAGAACAAGCATTCACCACACAGCCTTTTAATTTCACTGGGGTTTTATAAACACCAGGACATGCTCATCTGTATCTCTCTGCAAGCACATAGTAGAAATAAGTAGGCACCTTCCTGTCTTACACTGTGTGTACACCTGTGAGGGGCTGCATATTTAATGTTACCTCAGAACTCAGGCTTTAAGCCCTAATTCCCAAAGTGAGAGCTGAGAGGTGGGTATGTGGGAATGACGACTGCCCGTGTACAAGAGACCCTGGCAGCTCGCTCACCCTCTGATCTTGCAAGGACGCAGTGAGAGAGCACCAACCATGAGGAAACTGGCTGTCACTGGTGTGCTAATACGTTGATCTTAGACTTCTAACTCCCAGAGCTGTCAGCTATAAAGTTTCTGTTGTTACAGCAGCTTGAAGAGAACAAGGCAACAACCAAAGTATGGAGCAACAGAGATTGTTTTTGAGTGACTTGCTATGTAGTTCAAGGTGGCCTCAAACTCACAGGATCCTCCTGCCTCAGCCTCCAGAGTGCTGGGATTAAGGCATGCACAACCATGCTCAGTTAGCAATTGAGATGATGAGCAAGGCACGGTGCCTGTAATCCTAGCACTCCATAGGCTAAACCAGAAGACTGTATCTGAGGGCAGTTTAGGCTACCGCAGAAAATGCGAGGCCAGTTTGGAGCTTAGCAAGACTGTCTGAAAGCAGAAGAGCCCTAAACCAAAGCAAACAATACCCTGTAGAAAATTGTTGAAGAGTTCACTCACCCCCTTACTTTCTGGCCCAGCAGTTCTGAGTGCCTACTTTTGTTTTCTTCCCACCAGTACTTGGAATTGAACACAGGGCCTTTGCACTGAGTTACATCCCCAATTCTTAAAAGAAAAAAAAATCTTTTTTAAAAAATTTGAAACAGGGTCATGTAAAGTTGCTAAGTTGCCCAGATTGGCCTTAAACTTTCCATCCTCCTGCCTCAGCCTCCCAGACTGAGGATTATTGGCATGTACGTCTGCATTCAGCTGGAGTACCTACAATTATCATTAAGAGAAAATGAGCACGCACAAGTGATAAAATGAGGGGAAGGATCAAACAGGAAAATTTTAGTAATAATAACAAGTGATGGAAATAGTTCAAGCCTTCATTAAAGCCCCAGAGTGATCTGGGTGTAGTGTAACATAGCTGTTACACTAGCTACTCAGGAGGCCGAGGCAGGAGAATTGCAAATTCAGACTTAGCTGGGTAACTAAGAAAGACCCTGTCTCAAAAATAAAAAGAGGTAAAGAAGTAGCTTAGTGGAAGAGTTCCCTTGGGTTTGTATTCCCGGGCCAGGATGATAAGGGGTCGGGGTCAGGGTCAAGCCCAAAGGGTAAATCACTTGAGTGCTGGAGTTTTAAACTTTTACCTTAGTCATTTTTCTTTTTCCAGACTGGGTCTTGCTATACAGTTCAGGCTGGCCTGGAACTCACTATGTAGCCAAGGTGGCCTCAAACTCCTCCCTCAGTCTCTTGAGTGAGCCATTCGGTTGGTTTTTGAAACAGCCCGAGTCGTGGAGTCTAAACACAAGTCTTTTCCCACCAGAAGAGGACACAGCTGCCTTCACTTGTTCACTTGCTGACTTGTTACTTGGGTATGGAGGATGCTCACAGTAGAGACCAAGACAAGGCCCAGACCTGTTCTTAGCTCCGGTGGACACGTATGCTGAGACAGTGCCCTCCAGGGGATCCTGCTGGGCTGGGAAGGGGTCTGAAGGTAGCCTTTCCAGGGACACAGGGGAGCCTGGACTGACTGACTGCCAGCCAGCCAGCCAGCCAGCCAGCTCGCAGGCCTGCAGTGAGGAGATACTTCTCTAAGCTGTCAGGAAAACTTGTCACCCTTATGTTCTTCCTGAATTTAGTAACTATTATTTATTACTATTATTGTTATTTGTGGCAGTAGGGATTGAACCCCAGACTTTTGCAGAGCTACATCTCCAGCCTGTTTCTTATTTTGAGACAGGGTTTCACTAAATAATTCCTGCCTCAGTCGCCCGCCGAGCTGAGATTTAAGGACAGGTGCCTCTTTGCCCACCCTAACTATGAATTTAGATGATACCCATACTTCTCCAGTTCTGTTGGTTGAGAAGGGCGTTAGGAGGAGACCCTTTCCACTCTCTTAACTCCAGGGGGTGGGGTGATACTGCTCCCTAGAGAATACTTTGAAATCTCATGTTTTTTCTTTGAAATCAGAATGGTAGAGGGGACTCTACTGGCACTTATGGAAAGGGTCAGGGAACAAGCTTTCTTTCAAGGCACAGCCTGGATAATGAAGAACTGTCCCTCATCCACATTCTTACAAGTCCCCTAAGACATTCATGTAGGTGAAAGCTTGGGCTTAATTATCTGAGTCTATAAATTGATATAATTTTGAACTTTCTAGGAATGCAGTTCCAGTTCTGTGTCAATTCAAGGAAGACTGACTTTGCTACCACGCAGCCTTCATATTGCATGAAGTCACCTCATTGACAGCAATGTGCTGGAGGCAGCTGACTCACTGGCTCCACACCTGTGCCATAGTGCTGGGGCAGTGCCTCTCAGGGAACCAGGTGCACTCCCACGTGCTTCCAGGGAGAAGAGCCCGGGCACTCACACACTGAGGTGCTGTCTATACCATTTCATTAGAAGTTTTTTTTTTTTTTTTTTTTGTCCGTTTGAGACAGGATCTCACTATGCAGTTGAGGCTGGCCTTGGACTCACAGTAATCCTCCTGCCACAGCCTCCCCAGTGCTGGGATTACAGGTGTGTGTCACCATGCCCAGTTAAAGTTGCTGTTCTTTTACTTCCTTTTTATAGTATAGGCTGAAAAGCATTTTAAGTTTTTTTCCCCTCAAGACAAGGTCTCGCTGTGTAGTCCAGGCTGGCCTTGAATTTGTGGCAATTCTCCTGCCTCAGCCAGCTGTGATTATGGACTTGCCCACCACACCCAGCCGTTTTAAGTTTTTCAAAGGTATGTGTATAGGAAGGTTGCACCATCTATGACTAAAGCTCATGATGGGGAGGGAGTCATAATAAAATCTCATAAAATCCTAGTCACTCTCATAGTATAGTATTTGACTTTTTGTACCTTTTCTGGGGGGCAGCAGCCAGCAAGGAGCTTCATTTCCTTTCCTTTTTTCTGAGAGGGAGCCTCTTTGTTCTCTGCACAACCAAGCTCAGGCACATCATCTTCATCATTACCATCACCACCATAATCTTCATCACCACCACCATCCATCATCACCACTGCTACCACCACCACCATCGGCCACCACCATCATTCACCATCACCATCGTTACCAACACCGCCACCACCATCCACTACCATCACTACCACCATCCACTATCACCATCATCACCACCATCATCTACCATCATCCACTATCACCATCATCATCACCACCACCACCACCACCGTCCACCTCAAGCACGCACTAGCCTGGAGTCCCACCAGTCCTGAGACCTCTCTGCCTGCATGCTGGCGATTCCCTACCATCTTGGGAATTCTTCCGGTGCTCTCTGTCACCAACTGTTGGCAGCCAGACCCTGTTGGGGTGGAGGAAATACTGGCTTCTGCCCACGGGAGGTTCCTTTTCAGTCTACCTCAGTTTCTCTCCCGGTCCTTCGAGCAAGTGTCAGTTGCACACAGCTGAGCTGGAGTCTGAGGCGTGGTGGCTCCGCCTCTTTCCTCCCGTCGGCCCTGGTCGGCTCGGGTCCCCCCTCTTTTCTCCTCTCCCTCCTCTGTTCTCCGGCTTGGGCCCGCATCTCCCGGGTCCAGGCCTGCCCCTCCGTCTCGTCCTCCCCAGTGCAGCCGCTAACCCCGCCTGCCCCTCCGCTCTCCGCCCCGCCCCCAGTTTCGTGGGTGTCGCAATCCCGGTCCCGCGGCGCTCGGAGCATCTGGGTCTGAGCCGGGCCCCGCGTGGCGGGCAGGGCGGGCCGTGCCGGTGCCGCGGCGTGGGAGGCGCCCTCTGCCGGCCGCCTCCCTGGGTCCCGCCGGAGCGCCGCCTCTCCCTCACTCGCTCGCGCCCGCGGCCGCCGCGCCCAGGCCGCAGACGGGTGGGGTTGAAGCGCGCGGGCGCAGGCGGCGGGCTAGGCGGCGAGCACGCGAGCGCGGGAGGAGCGGCGCGGGCCTGGGCCTGCAGCGGCGCCGAGGTAGGAGCGGGCCGGGCGGCCGGGCGGGCGGACGGTCGGGCGCGGAGGCCGGGAGGCCGGGAGGCCGAGCCGGCCGGAGGAGGCGGCGTCCCGGGGGTGGCGGCCGGAGCCTCAGGGCCGGGAGGAGGGGACGGCGTTGTCCGCCCCGGCCCCGCCCCCGCCTCCTCCGCGGCTCGGGCCGCTTCGTGCCGGCCGGGCTCGGGCGCCGAGGGAGGCCGCGCCGGGCGGGCCGGGCCTGGGCTCCGCGCGCTCACCGCCGCCTCTCACTCAGATGCTGCCGCTGCCGCCGCCGCTGCTGCTGCTGGCGCCGCTCTTCCTCCGGCCCCTGGGCGTCGTCGGGGCGCAGACCCCCAACGCCACCTCCGAAGGTTCAGCCTCCTCTCCCGGCGACCCGGGCCCAGTCCCTCGGCCGTCGCGGCCGGGTCCTCGCTGGTCCCCTCGGCCCAACGCCACTTTACTACTCCTGACCTCTTTTCTGTTACCCCACATTACTACCCATCAGCCTTTTTTTCTGCTCCACATTGCTACACTACATCTCATTTCTGTGACTGAATTATTTACTCAGCCCTACCTGGCTTTCCTGGTCCCGCATGACAGCGATTCCTCCCTTTCGTTGGTCCCACTTGGGGATGGCTGTGCGGTCTCCTTTTCCTCTAATTCACCTTAGAGAGCCTCGCCTAGGCCCCTCCTTTTCTTCCAAGTGCCACCCACATGTTATTTCTTGGTTTAATTATTCCATTACCCCAACCTGCGCCTTTCCCTCCCGCTACTCTGTCCTTTAGCCCTGCCTTGCTCCTGTCCCCACCCTGTCCTGCTGACCACGCCCTGCTGTCCCCTGTCTCCTGCAGCCCAGCCCACCTGGCTGTCTCCCACGGTCCTTCTCTGTGTGCCTCCCCCACCCGCCACCAGGTTGCCAGATCATACACCCGCCTTGGGAAGGCGGCATCCGGTACCGGGGCCTGACTCGGGACCAGGTGAAGGCCATCAACTTCCTGCCCGTGGACTACGAGATCGAGTATGTGTGCCGCGGGGAGCGCGAGGTTGTGGGGCCCAAGGTGCGCAAGTGCCTGGCAAACGGCTCCTGGACTGACATGGATACCCCCAGCCGCTGTGGTGAGTCGCCTTGGAGCTCCTGGTCCCTGGAGACTTTTCCTTTTGCTGTGCCAACTTGGCATTACTGCTTGCAAGTTAGCACTTTAAATTCATTGTGACCAAATTCATAAGTCCATTTAATGAACGATTCCAACCATTGGCAAAGGGATGCTGCAGTTGGAGGTCCTAAGGCTAGCAGCCTGCACATTTCATTTCATCTTCCTGTCATGAGGCTCCGGATTACTGGATGAAACAATGTTATTATTCATTTTATGAGTTATTCTCTTTGAGGTAGATTATCCAAAAAATTATGTCTGAAATGATTTCACTACATTTCTTAACAACACTGACACCAACTTGGAGATGGTATCCCCAGGAACCCGAAGTGAGTTTGATAATATAAACCAACCATGATAAGAAAAGCAAATCTGACTGCATACAAAGTTATATACAGTACAGCTATGGGTTTCACAGGCAGGGAGCCACCCACTGACAGGAGAGGAGATCCCATTTTGTATGCTTAGAGCTCCATCTTGGGTTCTTGCAGTGGAAATGCTATTTCTTGTTTTGGGACTGTGTGGATGCTTCAGGGTAAGGGAGGAGTGGAAGGCAGGGATGCAAGTCCTCCTGACACCTGGTTTTCTGTAGAGCAGGATGCTTGTGGACACAAATCCAAACTTGCCCTCTGAGGGGAAGTAACCTCCAGTTTGCCTTTCTTCTCAATTTCTTGTCTCTCCACAGTTCGAATCTGCTCCAAGTCTTACTTGACCCTGGAAAATGGGAAAGTTTTCCTGACGGGTGGGGACCTCCCAGCTCTGGATGGAGCCCGGGTGGATTTCCGATGTGACCCCGACTTCCATCTGGTGGGCAGCTCCCGGAGCATCTGTAGTCAGGGCCAGTGGAGCACCCCCAAGCCCCACTGCCAGGGTGAGGGGAACAGCTGCCCACATGCAGCTGATGAGGACGCTTGATAGCGGGAGTGGGGGAACAAGTGGGGTGCTGGGAAGAATGTGGGGGGCTTGGAGAGGTGGAGGTAAAGCCTAACTCTCCCACCATCCACCTGCCTCAAACCTCTTTCTGCAGCCCCAGGATCCACTCTGCCTACATTAGTGGCTTTTTTCCATTTCTCTTTGTATGTCTTCTTGCTGCTCTTGGTTCTTTGGCTTTACTTTTTATATTCCTCTGTGACTCCTACCTTCTTAGGGTTTAAATACTCTAGTTTCCCTGGATTAATGCCCTTTCTCTAAATTTAGAACTTTCTTTGCATCACCTTTTAAATTTGATCCTCCACCATTTATTATATGAGAGAATTACTGTAAAGACAATGTTTTTAGAAAACCTGGTTATCTGGTTTACCTGCCTATAATCCTAGCTCCATAGGAGACTGAGGCAGGAGGATCACAAGTTCAAGTCCAACCTAGGCAACTTAGTAGTGGCTTAGTGACATACTGTCTCTCCCCGCCCCCCAAAAAGAAAAGGGCTGGGGATGTAGCTCAGTGCAGAAGACCTAGGTTCAATCCCCACTACAACACGGAGACCACAACAAAAATTGTTACGGAACCTGAGAGTGTAAATGTATTAGTGTAGTGACTCAAAATTGGGGAACAGCTCAGCAGAGAAGTGAGGCCAGTTCACCACTTTTACTGCCATTTGCTTTGCAAATAGCTCCTTTTTTCTGGGGGGAGGGGGTTATGAATGCTCCCTCCCTAGTGGGCTCTCCTGGATTGCAGCTCATTCTGTGTTTTAGGCTTCTACCCCTGTAAGGTGCTTTCAAGATCCTGGTCCGATCATTCCTTAATTTACTGAGTTACAGTTTATTGCTCTATTCTGGAAATAGGGTGCCCTATTCAGGGATGGTTTTTGCATGAACCTACTGGAACTTAAACTTCACTTCCTCACATGGCCCTCTGTTCTAATAACAGAGAGAGCTCTTAATATGATTCTACATGGAAATCTATTTTTATAAAAATTGCAAAAGTATGATGTTTTAACACACTTGTCAAAACCAGTTAAATTTGTAATGATTTTGCTTAAAGAGAGACCCCTAGATTTTACAGTATTCAGTTTCTGCAAAACCAGAATCTGCTTCTGCCTTAGCGGTTGCTTCCAGCCTCAAATCCTGCTGTCCTATGAAGAAACGACCCATGTCCTGACCCCCAGCCCCACCTTGCTCTTATCCTCAGGCACCCTCCCCTCTGAAGCGCAGGCTTCTGCTCTCCCAGTCTTCGACACGGACAGGTGTGGGAGGGGGCTGGGGCGCAGGCCGAGAGCCGGGCGCCCTGGTAACTCTTCTCTGATCCGTCTTTTCTGCTGCCAGTGAACCGAACGCCACACTCAGGTGAGATGGGGACCCTCACGGCAGTCCCTTCCTTCCCTTCTGCTCACAGGCACCCTGTCCAGGTTGTGGCCGTGTCCTTCACCACCTCACACCCGCCCCAGTTCGCAGCCTCTCCTTTTCTCCTACTCATTCCCGCCTCCAGCCCCGGTTTTCCATGGGGCTGCGGCTCCCCTTGCTCCCTGCCTGGTTGTACTTCTCCGGGTCCGGCGACAGGAGCAGCCGGCAGGGGGCGGCGGCGTGCGGGGCGCCGGAGCAGCGCCTGTCTTGCGGGGGTGTGCCTGCCTCCCGCGCGGGCGCCCCCTGCCGGGATGCCTCCTGCCCGTCCCACGCGGGTCCATCCTCCTTCCTCGGGCTCTGTCTGCGTAGTCCTCAGTGTCTGCACCACTCCAGCGTCCTCCTGCACTTCTCAGGCTGCGAGCCCCGTCCTCCCTGTTACTGTTCCCCGCCCCGCAACCGCGCCCACAGCTGCCTCAGGCCCAACCCCAGCCCTCCTGCAGCCCAGAGTCCGAGTTCAGTCTCCTGCGCACTGCCAGCGCACCCGGCCCTTTCTCGCGCCTCCCTTGGGTGGGACTGCGCCCCTCCGCCTGGCCGCCTCCACCTCTCCACCGTTTTCTCCTCTGCCCTGCCCCCTCGTCTCCCATTCCCCCATCCTCCACTCACCCCCTCCCTTTCTTGACCCCTCCCTCTATCCCCGCCTCTTCCCTCCCCGCCCCTCCCCTCTCATCTCCTCTTCCCTGTCTCCCCTCCCTCATCCTCTCCCTTTCCCCGCCCCTTTTGCCCCCTCCTCCATCCCCCGCCCCCCCCCATTTTCTCTCCCTGCCCCTCCATCTCCCTTCCCCTGCCCCTCCCTTCCCCCCTCCTCTTATCCCCTCCCCGCCCCTTACCCACCCCTCCTCCTCTCCCCTCCTCTCTCGGCCTCTCTCCCGCTCGCCCCCTCCCCGCCCGTGACGTCAGGTCCCCCTCCCAGCAGTTGCCCGCTCCGCTCTTCCTCCTCCTCTTCCTCGGTCAGTCCGCGAGGAGAGTCCGCGGCAGTGGCGCGGCTTGTTGCTGCGTGGCGGGAGCCCACATCCCCTGCCTCCTCGGGCCTTGCCCGCTCCTCCCCTGTCCACTCGGGGATGGAGGCGTCTCTCCGACGTGCCCTCAGCAGCCGCTCGTGGGAGAAGTGTCCCCCCTGAGCGCCTCCCCGCCCTCGCCATGGGTTCGGGGGCCCCCTTTCCCCGGGCGGGGTGGCCACTGCCGCTGCTGCTGGCGCTGGCGGCAGGGGTGGCTCCTCTGGGGGCCTCACAGGCTCCGCACCTCCCGCGTCCTCACCCGCGGGTCCCCCCGCACCCCTCCCCAGAGCGGCGCGCGGTCTACATCGGGGCACTGTTCCCCATGAGCGGGGGCTGGCCGGGGGGCCAGGCCTGCCAGCCCGCGGTGGAGATGGCGCTGGAGGACGTGAACAGCCGCAGGGACATCCTGCCGGACTACGAGCTCAAGCTCATCCACCACGACAGCAAGGTAGCCCGCGCATGGGAGTGGGCAGGAGGGCCGGGGGCCTGGCCCTCCCTGGCTACCCAGGGGAGGTGAGCTTAGAGAGGGAGGCAAGGGCTGGGGAAAGCCGGGGATCTAGATGTTAATCATGCTTTTAGCCTGAGGGGAGAAGCTCTGGAAGTGTGGAGGCTTAGGGAGCCTGATGGTGAATTTAGGGTCCTAGCCTATTCTCTTTTTCTGGGAAAGTGAACTAGTCCTGGGCTGGGTGGGGGCTGGCAGGACTGTCAGAGATGAGAAGCTGGAGCAGGGGTTTACATTTGCCATGGTAACAAGGTAGGTTTTGCGTAGGTTGTGGCCGGAAGGAGTTGGGAGGGAACAAGGAAATTTTTGAGGGACCTGAGAGCTCTTTTTTATTTACCAAAACAAACAGCAGGGTGGCTGGGAGCCCTCCCTGCCTCCACACTATGAGGGCTGACGATGTGGGAGCTGTGACCTGTAGGGCTGGGAGAGAGAATGGCCAAGCACTGGGCCAGGCACTAGGGGGGTGAATTGGGTCAGGGTTCACATGGTGCCCTGTGATAATGCAGGGTGGAGAAGAGTCAGTATTCCGGAGAAGAAAGAATGGATGAGAACGGAGAGGGGGAGGAGGTAAAAGAGGGATGGCAGGCAGTGCTTGGGAGGGACCTTCCGGAGGGGTCCTGGGGCCACCTCGGGAAGCTGGGCCCTTTTGGCACTGGCCTCTAGGGTGTGACATGAGAAATGGGGTACCAGGTTCGAAGGAGAGAGAAGGGAGAAGGGGAAGGTATAGCAAGGTTTCTCTCCCACCCATCAGTCCACAGTGAGAGGGGAAATGGGGAAGCATCTCACAGAGGGACGATTCGGAGCCGCCTTGGGGTTACCTTCTAAGGGATTGGAGTGGGCTGGTAGAGAAGATGAACTGGTGTTTTTACACTTTGGGGTGTGCCGGAGATTTATATTCAATCTCCAGAACATGAATATACATCTAAAAATAGCATGTGAAGGAAGAGGGACCAGGAATATGGGTGCAGGTAGGGTGCTTTGGGAGAGAGCACCAGGGTTGTTAGGAGCTTGGAAAGAGAACTTGAAATCCCTTTGGGCTTTTACTTTCTCTGGGCTTCTCAAACATTAGTGTATACAGAGCCACCAGAGGAGTCAGAAATATGGATTCTGAAAGCCGGATGTGGTGGTAAACACCTGTAACCCAGCATTTGGGAGGCTGAGGCAGGAGGATCACCAGCCTGGGCTACCTAGTGAGAGCCTCTTTCTCTGTTTCTCTCGCTCTCAAAAAAAAAAAAAAAAAAAAAAAAAAAGGTATATGTACATGTTTTCTAACTCCTTGGTCAGAGAGGAACCCCAGATAGCATCTGTATGTTTACCAACAGGAATCCTGCCTGGTTGACCTGTTGCTAGCCCCAGGATGCCTATGGAAAGAGCAGCAGGGTGCAGAGTGAGAATCGCCTGTCAGTTGGGCAGGCAGGAAGAAGTAGAAGGTCAGATCTATTGGATGAGTCAAGCTAGAGGAGCAGGAGGGATAATGGTGGGAGGGGGTGAGGACTGGTGACAGGCTGGGGGTTCCAGCTCCCCTCCTATGACGCGTGATCACAGGAGTCAGAGACAGGAGCCTCTTGTAGGAGTCAGGGAGCAGCTGGGACACCCAGGAGCAGGAACTGGAGGAGAAGGTAGCAGAAGCTGCAGAGGACGGATGAGAAGTATGCCCCTTCCCTGGCAGCAAGTGCTGACCATTGCAAGAGCCCAGGAGGAGGAGAAGGAGGACAGTGTACTGGGAGGAGAGAGTCTCAGCGAGGAAGGGTCTGGGAGGGATATAAAGGGAAAAGATGAGCAAACAAGAGAAACTGCACATTCACACTGCTTACAGTGCCATACTTAGAGGCACTATGGGTTCTTGTGTGTCCGCTCTCCTTGTTTCTATTAATATTTGTTCAGCTGAGTAGTGGGGTGCTGAGGGACCTTAGGGGGAAGTGGGGCGCGGGTCTGGAGTAACAGATGCTGGGAGGTGGGACCCCAGAATGGTAAAGATACACAAAGGTACCCAGGTGGGAGGCATGAAGAGAAAGTCTTCCAAAGGAAGGCCAGCACAGCTCTTGGCTCTTGGCAGGTGGTCAGCAGGTTTCTGCAGCCCTTGATTCTTCCCTGCCCTTTAACCTCCCACAGTGTCCCAAATGCCAGGTCTCAGTGGGGCTTGAGCAGGCTCCAGGGGACCTTCTTTATTTCCTTGCTACTTGTCACACTGGGCTCCCTCTCCTGGCTCCCCACTGGCTTCCTTTGGGGCTCCCGCAGCTTCTGAAATGTCATATTTCAGCAGGAGGGAATGGGCTGCGAGGAGACCCAGGACAGACTCCTCCCCGCTGCATTCTTCTCTTAGCTCTTGCGCTTTTGGAATTGCTTACTTCTCCAGCTCTGTACCTTTTTTTTAGGCAACATCTGGCTTCTGGAGAGTTTCATTCTATTTATCCTCCCATTCTTTCTTCCTCTGGATTCTTCCCTACTTTTAACGTTGGGTATTTGTTTTCCTGATGGGCCTGTCCAATGGTGGAGCTCAGTGGGAGGGGATGGGGAAGACCCCCTATTTCCTGGTCTCTCTTGTTTCCTTACTGCTAGCCCAGAAAAGAGGAGAGGGAAAAGAGGAAGGTTTTAAAAAAGGTAGAGAGAGGGGGTTTGCTGAGGTGAAGGTGAAAAATGTCCTACCAGGCTTTGAAGAAGTGTGAGAACCTGGGGGTATGTGGTGATGGAGACGGTGGGGAGCGGGGTGGTGGGAGGTGGGCCTGGGATGTCTCTGATGAGCTGAAGAGGAGGAGTGTGCTGGAGGGGAACAGGGCAAGGGGTCAGGTGGAAGACAGAAGGGAATTAGTGACATAAGAGAAACAAACCTGACAAGCAGAGATGTCAGGAGGGAGAAGGATGTGACGGAGATTAACTGAGGAAGGAGCTAGACTGTCTGGGAAGGTGAGGCAGTAGGAATTACAAGGGGAAGAGGGCCCTGGCAGAGCCTGCCTTGTCCCCTTTTTCCTCACTCAGTGTGACCCAGGCCAAGCCACCAAGTACTTGTACGAGCTGCTCTACAATGACCCTATCAAGATCATCCTCATGCCTGGCTGCAGCTCCGTCTCCACACTTGTGGCCGAGGCTGCCCGGATGTGGAACCTCATTGTGGTGAGCAGGCCTGTGAGGGCCAGAAGTGCGGTTATTCCCTTTGGATTGTACTATGTGGGGATGGCGGGTTTGTGTTTTAAGAAGGTGAGGGCGAGGAACCCACACCAGGACTGGGAGCACTTACAGACCTGAGCTTGTCAGCTTCCTTGCAAAGAAGCCTGACCTGGTTCCTCATCAGAAGGAACTGAAATAGATCAGACAAAGAACATCCTGATTAGGAGGGGTGTGTGCCTTCTAGACTCACTTTTCTTAGGGCACAGGTAGGGAAGTTGGGCACAGGGGGAAAGCAGGGGAGACAACTCCAGGAACAAGGAAAGGGTTAACTGCACACCAAGCAGCCTCAGAGGAACCCACCACTGACATCCTGTTTGCACTGTCCTTGGCCCTCCAGCTCTCTTACGGCTCCAGCTCACCAGCCTTGTCCAATCGGCAGCGTTTCCCCACATTCTTCCGGACGCATCCCTCAGCCACACTGCACAACCCCACCCGTGTGAAGCTCTTTGAAAAGTGGGGCTGGAAGAAGATTGCCACCATCCAGCAGACTACGGAGGTCTTTACATCGGTGAGGAGGACTGGGGGTTAGGTATGAGGAGCGTCCACTCTGAGTCCTGTGGGGAGAAATGAAATGGGATTCAGTTGGGCAGGAAGCCCTGATTCTTAAAAAATCAGTACATTCAAAGTAAGTGAAGCCCATGTTTTTTCTGTAGCCAGGGGAACAAAGGAGTTCTTTTATGATTTTATTTTCCCTTAGATGCTCTGTGCCCCTGACAGGTACACCCAAAGTGACTCCATTCTGTTAAAGTGGTGTAGTCCTAAGCTGAGTCGGGAGGAGGAAGGGAATAGTACACAGTACCCTGGGAGCTCAGGTGGGGAGCAGGTGTAAATGGTAATGGAGAGGGAGACAGGAGAAAGAGGAAAGGAGTGGAGGGGCAGAGGGAGAGAGACAGGCAGGCCAGATGCAGACACACCATCTGGCAGTAGACACAGGCCAAAGGACACAGTGCATTGAAGGGACGGGGAGACTTGAGGGGCAAGAGAGGAGGACATGGCTTGAGACCTGAAAGGGGCTGTCCACTGCCTCCCATCCGTACTCATCTCTGGGTCTTCTACACACTTGTGTTCAGTGGCCTTTGATCCTTCCTCCTCAGTGTTTCTGGCCCCTCTCTGTGAACCTTTTGTCCATCTGCCCTTTGCCCTTGAGCTTATGTCTTGCTGTCTATTCCAACCCCTGCCTCCTCTTTTGTGGCTCTTCTGTTTTCCTCTAGTGGTGGGAGGGTGAATCAGATGGCATCCCTGAATTCACTTTGAAGGACAGAGGCACTTGCCCTGAAACTTTCCTCACTAGGGGCAGAGCTGCTGGAGAACAGCTGAGTCTGGCTCCTTTGCTCTGAGTGTGTGCTCTTCAGTTAGCAGCGCTGTTTACCCCATTGTGCACCCTATGTTCCTCCTGTTTGTTTCTCACTCTTATGGCAGACCCTGGATGACCTAGAGGAGCGAGTGAAGGAGGCTGGAATAGAGATTACCTTCCGCCAGAGTTTCTTCTCGGATCCAGCTGTGCCTGTCAAAAACCTGAAGGTGGGCTGGCTAGGAGTGGCTGGCTCAGCCAGCAGAGGGCAGGTGGGGACAGTGATGTGCTGGAGATGAGCATCCTGCGGGGCAGCAGTGTCTTGGGGAAGATAAGCCCTGTCTTTGACGTGCACCCACTGCCTGCCACACTAAGCACTTCAGGGTAGAAAACAAAGCTCTGAGTGCCCAGATACCCTTAGGAGCTCTCTTTCTGTTTCTGCTTACAGCGCCAGGATGCCCGGATCATCGTGGGACTTTTCTATGAGACTGAAGCCCGGAAAGTTTTTTGTGAGGTGCGGGAGCTTAGTGAACTCCACCATGGTTTTCTTCTAAGTCTCCTTCCTATATCTCTGCTTAAATTGATAACAAATAACTGAGGTGATGATTAATTTAATATGCCTCTGACTTCATCCTTTGCACATGCTAGCTCTTACATTTATGCATGTAGACTTGTGTGTGCACACACACAAGACCATTTGCAATACTCACCTTCTCCCTCTTTTGGTTTCTTTTTTTCTCTTTTGGTTTCTTAGATGACCCATGAATCCTCTCTTTCCTGGCTATCTGGAAAAGCCACTCCAAAAAAAAGGGACTTAGAGGAGGGGTTGTTGAATTTCTTTTATTATCCTAGACTTGTAGATTTCTTCTTAATTCTGCTGCTCTTCTCTGGTTCCGACTCTCCTAGTGTCCAGTGAGAACACACACAGAAAACCCCAGACCATACCCCGGTCCTCCCCCTTTGCTGTGTGCAGGTGTACAAGGAACGGCTCTTTGGGAAGAAGTATGTCTGGTTCCTCATCGGATGGTACGCTGACAATTGGTTCAAGATATATGACCCATCCATCAACTGCACGGTGGATGAGATGACTGAGGCAGTAGAAGGTCACATCACCACTGAGATTGTCATGCTGAACCCTGCCAACACGCGCAGCATTTCTAACATGGTGAGGAGACTGGCATGTTGAAGCCGAGACTGGGTGGAGGAGGGCACAGAGGGAAAGGGAGAGCTTGTAGGGTTTGAACGTGCAAGGGAAGGGGTCTGTGCCCCTGTGAGCTTGTTTGTGTCATGTCTCCTATAGGGTCTGCTTCTGCTGTGACTTCACTGGGCAGGAGAGAGAGGAGAGTGGTATATTCCTAGGTCTCTGATGAGTGGAAGGGTTGTTACCATGGAAACAAGGAGCAGTTGGTGAGAAGTCAAGGAAGGAGCAGCTTTAATGATAATACAAATGCTTGCATATGTAAGCACCTTTACCAGAGTGTTATTCCTGGACAGAAATATATTTTATTTTCTTGGCAACTTATATTGTACCTCAGGAGTTGCTTAATATTCACTCTGGTTGATACAAAATTAGCTTTGATTTTGACTTTAAGTAGTTCTTTTTTAGAGTTTTAGATATATAAGACACTTTTGAAATAATTTAGCCCCAAATAGCTAGCTAGTGACAGACTGGAGCTTGAAGTGAGAGGTAGCCTGCAGGGTGGGGGGCACAAGCAGGTGTGGGGTGAGCAGGGGAGACCACCAGGTTGCTCAGCACTGCATCTTAGCATGTGGGATCCAGGCAACTCGACAGGGTAACCTGTGTGTCTGCTGTTATACGATGTATATTGCCGGGTCCAGAGAGCTGCTTTTGAGAGCGTGCTGGGGTGGGAGATAATGGTGTTAAAACCCAAAACTAGTTTATTTAGAAAGGATTTAGTGAGAATTGACTTCATGTGGTAAATTGGGAGCTTAATGATTTTAATGAACCTGAGAGCAGTATGATGTAGATTTCTATTTGCCTCTTTTAAATTGAGAAGATTAGGACTCAGAGGTTCAGTGATATGTCCCTCGCGGCACACATACCCTTGAGTGGTCTCACTAGAACCCAATTCCTAGCTGAATCTTAATTCTAAACTGCTCTGCCCCGTTATTTTCTGTGGAAAAGTAGGAAGCACCTGGTAGGTAAATTTGCTAGCGCTGAGCCACAGCCTCAGCCATTTACAGCAGCTTTTGAGCAAGGAAGAAACAAGAGTCTCGCCAGCGGGTTGTGACGAAGAATCAGCTGCCACATGGACTCTTCTTAGATGTTTTGCGGGACTGTCTCTGTGTTTAATGTGTCTGTGTTGAAAAGTGCAATGAAAAAGATTCTGGAAGGTCACTGCCTGTAAAGTACCTGAGAGGTGAGTCACCCTTTAGAACTGAAAAATTTTAGGATTGGTTACCCAAGTCAGAAGGACCTGCCAATTGTGGCTTCAGTCTCATAACAGGGAGCTGGAGGAGCCCAAAAGAAAGGCAAGGATTGCTTTGAGGGACACTTGGACTTTGGAGGAAGATGCTGTAGGGCATCTTTTTCTTGCTTTTGGCCTTTAGAGATAAATGGAGGCCACAGGGATTATAGTGACACTAGCCTAAAATGCCAAGTGGAGAAACCAAGATTTTTCAGTTGAGGGTAAAGAAACCTTAACTGATCTTGGAAGATAAGAGGTGAGCAGAACTAAAAGAAGTGGGTCAGAAGCAGCAGCTGGATGTAGGTAGGCAGACCCATGGGGACTTAGACTCTGTAGGAAAGGCCAGGTTTACATAGAGCAATAGTTCCCAATCCTTAGCTCACTTCAGAAACACCTGGAAAGGCACTTAGTATCCAGATCCCCAAGACCTTTCCCCAGAAGTTGTGGTTCAGTAGGTATAGGGTGCCTTGTGTAGAGAGCAAGGTCCTGAGTGGGTGACAGGAGATTAAGAAGAAACAAGACATGTAAAAGAAAAGCTAGGCCTGGGTGGGTAGAATCTGACTTTTCTGCCAGACAGGCAGGGACAACGTTCCAGCTTGTCTTTATGCTCATAAAGTAAAAAAGGGGAAAAACACATAGTGGGTTTGAGAGTGCATGGTCTCAGTGTTTTGCTGAGAACATTTGAAAGCCAAAACACTCTCAGAGCTATGATGCTGTAATTAACAAGGAGGAACACCCAGGCTGGACACCTATTGATAGGCAACTGGGCTATAGATCAGTTTGGTAACATGGTCCTGCTTCTGGGGTTCTGTGTGCCTGGCTTTATTCTAGTCTCAAGGAGTTTGCCTCCTCCAGCTCAGCCACAGCTCAATCCTCCCCACAGTAGGATAGGCCTGAGAATTTAAATTTCTAGAAAGTTTGTAGGGATGCTGATGTCACTGCCCTGAGGAATTACTTTTTTTTTTCAGTTTTATTTATTTTTTTACCAAAGTTACGCTATTTATTTTATTTTTAAATTTTATTTTAAAGAGGGTAAAATTAAACACAACAAAACAGAACATAAGAAAGCAAAGACATAAATTTCAAAACAAGACAACAAGAGATCTTCATTATCTATCATATTGTCTCTTGTTTTCTTCCAAAGTGTCCGTATCTTGACATACAGTGAATTCATACACAACAACATAGTATAAAACTGATCCGAACTGGATGATGGTGTTTTAGGTTTTCAAGACCAGACAATAGGGAAGTCAACAATGGCTGTTATAATGTCTCTTCAGAATAGTTGTCCATACCTTCACATATGTTGAAATTAAAACAAAACAGACTAAAATCACTCTGAGCAAAGAATAATAGTATTAAATTTCATATCTTGATGCTACAGAGTCAGCACTGGATACTGTAGTGTCTCTTTTTCTTCAAAGTAGTTATTCATTTCATCATGCATTGTGTAATCAGTTCTCATAAGCTGTTTATAAGTTCTATGCGTGTATGAATCTCTACATGTATATCTATATCAGAAGGAAAAACAAAGCAAGACAAAACAAATTGCTAGAAAAACATGAAACAAAAAGGTCATAAAACTGCAATACAAGGTGATCTACAATGGTTACTATGATGTCTCTTGTTACCTTCAATAGAATTGTTTATGTCATCAGGCATAGTATAATTGAATATAGCAGTACATAACTATTAATAAAAATGAAACATTGGAGACATTATAAGACTTCAAAATCATGTAATAATCAAACCAGAGTGGGTATCCTAGTGAATCTTGTCATCTTCAGTGTAGTTGCCTATACTCTCAGACTTGATACTATCAGTCAGAAGAGATTGAAATAAAATCAGTCAAGACAAAACATTAATCTTAACCAGATTCAAATAAGATCGGTAATGATAAGACAGTGTAAGTCATACAGGGCTTCAGATTAAGTTAATAGGAAATTAAGGATGATTACCATACTATATCCTATTTTTGGAATAGTCTGTTCCCTCACATACAGTACGAGTAGACTGGAACAGAATATAATCCATCTAAACAGAGCAGTGAGTGATTTGGATTTTAAATTCTGACACACTATTAACAATATCCTCTGAGCTGGGTGTGGTGGCTCGAGCCTGTAATCCCAGCACTTGGGAAGCTGAGGCAGGAGAATCATTGCAAGTTCGAGACCAGCCTGGACTACAAAGTGAGCTCAAGGCCAGCCTGAACTGCATAGAGACCCTGTCTCAAAAAGACAAAAAAAAAAAAAGAAAAAAAAATATCTTTTGCCTTCCTTTTTTAGACAGTTCCTCCCCTTTCACTCCCACAGGGTGCACTGCACATTTTAGGTCCCATCAACTCCCTCAGGTTTTAGATTGGAGGGGCAACCTGCTATTTACCTAAGTGGTTCCAAACTTCCTTACTCCTGGACTTGATCTCAAGTTGTATTCCTTTACCTACAAAAGCCTCAAGGTTTTCCTTCATTGTAGCTGAGTAGTTTTCTACTGCACAAAAGTGTCCTGTCTTTTCAGCCTATTTGCAGCTGCTGGTTTAGTTGCCCCTATTTCTCTCTGGTTCTCTGTCACATAGAGGACTGCTTTCTCATATTTGATTTTTGGTCCGTAAACCCTCTTTCAGGTTAATTATATTTCCTATAAAGAGCATCTCGATGGGCCCTACCTCCTGATCTACTCTGCCTGTGTTTCTTTTTGTTAGTGTATCAAGGCCATCTATATTAGAGATTATAGCCAACCTTCTCTGCCTCATTTCTGCTATGCTATTTTTCTGCCATTGGTTGTCTACTTTTTTCCTTCATTCTACTGTCTGCCCCATTCATTCAGGCCTGTCTGCCACTGTTCCTGAAATCCTGATATTTTTATTTCCTCTCTCTCTAGAATGTCCTTCAGTATTTTTGTAGGGTTGGATTGGTGGTGATGAACTTCTCTTTGTCATGGAAACATGTTGTTTTTCCATTAATTTTGAGAGACAATTTTTCAGGGTACAACAATCTGGGTTGGAGGTTATTTTCTTTTTTGTTTTTTTTAAAATCCTCAGCCCTGAGGTTATTTTCTTTCAGGGCTTGGAATACTTCATTCCAAGCTCTTCTTGATTTGATGGTTTGTGTCCAGAAGTCTGCCGTGATTTTGATGGGTTTTCCTTTATAAGCGATCTGTTTGTTTTCTCTGACAGCTTTTAGTATTCTGTTCTTGTAATGAATTTCTGATATCTTGATTATTATATATCTGGGTGTGGCTGGAGTTCTGTATGCCTCATACATCTGAATATCATTTTCTTTTCCTATGCTTGGGATGTTTTCCTTAATTATTTCTGTGAATAGCCTTTGTATTTCCTTTGTGTGTATTTCTGCTTCTTCACTCACATTTTTTTGTTCTTAAATTATAGATCCTCTTGTCATCTGCTAGCCTTTGTATTGTTAGTGCCTGTTTCCTTGTTATTTTTAAGAGATCTTTCCTTTTGCAATCAGATGTTGCAATCCTATCTTCAAGTTTTATTAATCTATCTCTAGTTTCTGTCAGGCAGTTTTTCCAGCTTTCGATGGAGTTTTTAATTTCCTGGTAATCTCTTTGATCTGTTTCATGTGTTCTAGGTTTTCTTTATATTCATCGAATGTTTCTTTTCTTTTTTTGTGTTCCTCCATTCTGCTGTCTGTGTCTTCTTGAGAGGTGCTTAGCATTTCTTTTATTAGTCTTCTTATATCTTGCTTTACTTGAAATAATTTAGTTTTGAGCTCGTCAATGATGTCATGAAGATATCTCTTTATGTTTGCTGATGCTGTGTCTGATATTACGTGTTTGATGCGCTCAATTTCTTTTGTATTTTCCTCTCCTGGGTCAGTATTTGCAGGGTTGGGGGCTCAGGGCTTTTTCTCATTACTTTCTCTTGTCATGTTTTTGGTTTTTCCCATATAGGTATATAGTGGAGGTCTGAGCCCCTTTCCTTGTTGGTTATGGTTCTTCTGAAGCATGCTGGCTAGGGATTACTGCCCTCTCCAGTTTGTTGTTGGTCATTGAGGTACAAGTAGGGCCAGTGAATGCTGGCCTCTCCACTCTGAGCCAGTCAACCAGTGGGAGCCTTCACTATGTTAGTGTGTACTGTGCATATGGAATTGGTTTGGGATGACTTACTGGGTCCCAGCCAGGAGTGTGACCCAGCCCAAGCAGATCCCGCCAATCTGCTCTGGGTAGGGTGCAACCAACTGAAGTCACTGTGGTTCCTTGTTCATGCCCGTCCTGTCTGATTCCAACATGTCGTCCAGTTGGTCACCCCTTTCCCATGGTGGGGGTCTTATTCTGAGCACTCACCACTGGTTAGTGCAGGTCTCCATGATGGCTTCTCCGTTGGGCTTGCCAATCCCCGACTTCAGCACAACTGCGGCTCCGGTGGTGAGCACTCTGTGACCTGACTGCGAGTTTGAGTGGCTCCAGTGAGAGCGCCAGTGGTAGCCCCAGAACCACTCATTTGCCTGGGAACGAGAGGGTCCATCTTCCTTTGTCTGGTCCTCTCCAGGATGTTTTATTCCAGCATCTGAGTTGTTTCTCTCAGGGAGGCTCTGTATTTTGCTGTTTACTAGTTCACCATCTTTAGCTCTGCTCGTCACACTGTTTATTTAGAGAGTGGTTCTTAACTAAAAGGTGTGTCTGGAGAAATTTTTGGTTGACACTTGGGGTGGGCGGTTTGGGGATGAGACAGATGTGCTTGGTGTTTAGTGGGTAGAGACCAAGGATGCTTCTTTTCTTTCGTTGTTTTTTTTTTTTTTTTTTTTTTTTTTTTTTTTTTTTTTTGGGTGCTGGGAATCGAACAATCAAACTTAGGACACTGTGCTTGCCAGGCAGCTTGGCAGCTTCTTGCACCACTGAGCTATATCTCCAGTCCCCAAGGATGCTTCTTATCCTGCAGTTCAGAGGTCAGCCCTGACAAAAGAGCTGTCATGCCTAAAATGTCAATGCTGTGGAGCTGGAGAAGTCCTGGTGTAGAGAAGGACCCTTTAGAAGTGGAGTGAGTTACTGTGGTTTGGAGAAGTCTAGCTATGGCCTAGAGCGAAGGTGGAGGGCGTGTACCTGCAGGTTAGCGTGTGGCACATCCTGATTGGAGACACCATCAGACTCTGGTTAAAGCCAGCTAAAAAGGCAGTTCAGGAACACATTAGATCACTGCCAAACATCCATTTCTACACCCGGAGGTAGATGGGCAGCACTGTTAGAACAATTAGGATCATAAGTTTGCAGTTGGCTAGTGTCTGTGGATCATAAAATTTTTGGTTTTAGTTTTACTTAGCAGCACAGTAGAATTTCTCTTTGAGAATTTGTAACCTAATCTTTTTAGAGGTGAGATGGTTTTTTCCTGATGAGTCACGGTATGGGAACATGGTGCTCCTGTTGGCCAGGTGTGTTGGAGGTGGTGTCCTGGGATAAGCTGGGAGTTTGAGGGTCTGGGAAGTGGGTAACATCACCAGCAGATTAAACCTCTTCCTATCTGGGTGATTTTCTGATGCAGTCTTTACTTTGAACTGAGGATTGGGTAGACCTTGAAGCCAGAGGAAGCATAACGAATCTTGAGAGCAGGTCCTTTGGGGGAAAGTGCACAGGACTAGTGCATGGCGGCTGGTAAGAGACAGACTTTGTAAGCGTCAGACTCACTGTGTAACTTGAGGCAGGTTACCTAGCTCCTGTGCCTCAGTGCCCTTGTTTCCAAAAGAAAGAGGTGTAATAGTCGTACCTCTTGGTGAATTTTCATTAAATACATCCATATATGTACCTTAAAAAAGTGCCTGGTGTGTAGTAAAGACAATGTAAACGTTATCCATTGTCATCCTGTGTAGGGAGGGATTTTACTGAAACAGTTCAACATAATGATTAGGAGGATTTGGTAATTTGAAGGAGTCTAATGTGATCCCAAGGTTTTGATCTTATATATTGAGTGGTGTTGGAATGTGAGGAAAAATTGAGGTTAGTTTCAGATACTTTGATTTTTGTTTTGGACAGAGTCACCGTGTAGCCCAAACTCATGGTGATCCTCTTGCCTCAGCCTCCTGAGTCCTGGGATTATTTGCACTGCTATGCAGGGCCAGTTTTGGATATTTGGTATTTGATATTTTAATTTTGGAGACAGGGTCTTGCTGTGTAGCCCAGGCTGGCCTTGAACTCATGACAGTTGTCCTGTCTTAGTCTCCCAAGTGCTGGGATAATAGGCATGCACCACCACACCAGGTTTGAATCTGAGATTATTGATCATACTGTTAGCAATGCCTGACAGTCAATTGGAGATATAGGGCTCGAGATTTTGGGCTGGCATTATATATCTTAGTAATCAAAGAAGAAGTTGAGAGAAATTTTCAGAGAGATTTGCTTTTATTTATTTATTTGGGTTTTTTTGAGGCAGGGTCTAGCTATATAGTTTAGGTTAGCTTTGAGCTCACTATGTAGGTTGACCTTGAATTCATGGTGATCCTCCTGGAGTTCTGGGATTACAGGAGTGCAACACCACACCCAGGTTTCTGCATTTTATACATGTTCTTATTTCATTTTTATACAATTTTTTTTTTTTTTTTTTTTTTGTCTTTTTGAGACAGGGTTTCACTGTGCAGTTCAGACTGACCTTGAACTCATTTTGTAGACCAGGCTGGGATTTGAACTTGGCAGTGATTGCCTCAGTCTCCCAAGTCTTGGAATTACAGGCATGCACCACCATTCTCTGCCTTATATGAACTCTATAAGGCAGAAGTCCCATTTTAAAACTAAATAGTCAATAGATAAGATTTAATGACTTGTTGGAATTTTTTTTTTTTTTTTGGTACTGGGAATTGAACTCAGGACTTTGTGCTTACCAGGCTGGTGCTGTGCAACTGTATTCTATCCCCCAATGTTGGAAATTTATAGTAGATATTAGAGTAATTGGAATTAAGCTCCATCAATGTGTTTACTCAATGGAAAATTTTAAAATAAAGACTTTGTTTTTAGAAATTTTGTTTTTTATTAGTACATGTTTGTGGTACATAATGTTTACATTGCTTTTTTTTTTTTTAAAGGAAGTTTAGATTCATTTGCATAGCCTTTGTTGTTACTAGCACTGTTTGCTGGAGTGGTATATTGGTTCCCATTAAGGACACTGCATTTTCAGGTCATGGTCAGATGCGGTGGTTTACCTTTGGGTCCTCTCTTGGTGTTGTGCATTTTCTTCAGTTTGTACAAATGTGTGTAACTTACAAATGTATGTTATGGTAACATACCCACTATTGTCATTGTCCTAATCCAGTGTTGGTTTACTTTTGTTTATTATATAGACTGGGCACAGTTTGAGAAGAATGGATCTCAGTCTTATCCTCAGTAGTTATAGAATCTAGTCTGTGTCTCTTCAATGCCCAGGCTGTTTTCAGGAAGTTAAAATAGAAGAAAAAAGTGATCAGAGCATAAAGACAAAAAGATACTTACTCATTTATCTATTCATTCCATGAGAATTTGTGTATGTTAACATATTCCAAATCCAAAAGTTGTTTGTGTAGTATGCCTGTGTAGTACTTGTGCTTTTCCAGAAATAGTTGTTAAACTTTTCTTTGTGTGTTTCTGGGAGGTATGGAGAGATGTAATTTTCTCTGTGATGTGGAAGATAGTTCCAAGATACCAAGCAGTTCAGCCCTGGTAGTTAAGGCAAACAGGCTTACGGTCAGGCTTACCATGTTGGGTAGGTTCATGGATCCATCTCACGAGGTTAAACTAAGTACTATTCTTTTTAGCTTTCTGGGAAAAAGAAGGCTGAATGTTGAGAGAGGTGTGGGTGGGATTGAATAACGGGCTTCAGGAGTGTGAAGGGTATTTCTTCTGTCTCCAGTCTTCTGAAAACCGTCCAAGAATCATTGAACTGAAGTTACAGATCTTGTTGTTTGACAAGCAAAGTGAGAAAGACATGCTGTCGCCTTTTCTAGGATTTTTCAGAGTTGGAGGAGCTGTGAGATCCTGGGTCAGATCTACTTAGAAAGTCTGCAGGATGGGAGTATGTCAGCATCACAAGTCTTTACTGCAGTACCACGTCTCTTCCTCTGCTCCGACTCTACTTGCTGTCCTTTGCTATTCGTGATCTAAAGTATTTATTCATCACACTTCTCTGTTTGTAGTTCTGAGATAGCAGCTGACACACTGCGACCACTGGCCCCTGCTGACACCTGCCCAAACTCAGTGGCTTCTCACCTGAGACAGTCATGGGCGATGTTCTGCCTGATAGCAGAACACAGCCCTTCTGTCTCACTCAGCTAAAGCGTTTGAGCTAGAAGTCGACAGCCCCTTCTCACTGCACCCACGTACGTGCCCACCCTCCCTCTTGTTTTCCCTACCCAGACCTCCCAAGAATTTGTGGAGAAACTAACCAAGCGACTCAAAAGACACCCTGAAGAGACTGGAGGCTTCCAGGAGGCACCATTGGCCTATGACGCCATCTGGGCACTGGCACTGGCCTTGAACAAGACCTCTGGAGGAGGTGGCCATTCAGGTGTACGCTTGGAAGACTTCAACTACAACAACCAAACCATTACTGACCAGATCTACCGGGCAATGAACTCTTCATCCTTTGAGGGTGTCTCTGTGAGTAAAGCAGCTTCCTTTTTACTCCCATTCCCTTAAATAAACAGAACAGCTCAGGCTCCTGTTAGAAACTGTATTCTATTTTTCTCTTCTCGTTTCTCCTTTTTTTTTTTTTTTTTTTTTTTTTTTTGAGACAAGGTCTAACTGTGCAGTTCAGGTTGACCTTGAAGTCACTATGTAGCCAGTCTGGCCTCAAACTCACAGCGATCCTCCTGCTTCAGCCTCCTGAATGCTGGGATTATAGGTGTGCACCACCATGCCCTGCCCCTATCTTTCTATTACTTCTCTGCAAAAATCATTCTCATACTGGAAGAGGAGGGACCCTTAATTAGAAAATTGCATAGGAGAGTACAAAGAATGACGGAGTGTATTCTATTTCTTTCTACCTCTCCCCTTGTTTTATCTTAAAACCAATCTAGGTAGATGAGAATTGGAGGATTTTAGAAGAGGAAACAGCCTGGAGGTTCATTGTCTTATTCCTTTTAAAGTGAGAAAATTAGTGCCCATTGGTGCTTGGTAACTTGCTCAAGGCACACAGCTGGAGGTGAGGTCTCCTGCCTTTGTCCAGAGCTCTTTCCCATTCAAATCTCCTGGGCAAAGTTTCTTCTCAAAAGAATTGTGTTCCTGGAATCTAGGGTATGGGCATCTGGGGTGTGTCCTATATGCAGGCAAGTGCCATAAATAGCGTTCATTCAGAAGCTCAGTACATTAGACCCGCGAGGACTCAGAGTCCCTGATGTTCTCTTTCCACTGGGACCTTTATCCCGTCTGCCTTCCGCATTTGTCCCCTCAGGGCCATGTGGTGTTTGATGCCAGTGGCTCCCGGATGGCTTGGACACTCATCGAGCAGCTACAAGGTGAGCAAGGCAGTGGGGAAGGAAGGGTGGGGCCAGCCTGGGAGGATGGCATCTGAGATGTCGCTGCAGGGTGGCCTGCTGTTTCCTCCTCCCGCCCTTTTCTTTTTAACTGTGCTCATCAAATTTTTAAATAATACCAGTGAAAAGCTTGGACGTGAGTAGGTTTCTTGCAGTGGTTGTATTCTTTGGAAGGGGTCTGAGAATTAAAAATAAGTGTTCTCTTCTCTCTTTTCACACTCAGAAAATTCCCTTCAGAGGCTAGTCTGAAGGGTTAATGAGCTGTCAGTGTGTCATCAAAGATGCAGGGTCCTGGGAATGGTAGCACATGCCTGTGATCCCAGCACTGAGAGGGTGAGGCAGGGGTGTCTCAAAATTGAGCCCAGTCCGTACCCTGGGTAATTCAGCGACTTAATGAGACTGTTTTAAAGTACACAAATGAAGGCTAGCCTATTGCAAAGCCTCAGGGTTCAATGCTTGATCCTCCCCCTCTAAAAAAAGTGATACAAAAATATAAGTAGGAAACCCACTATTCTTTAAGGAATCTATTGAGTATCCTTGCTGTGTATGCTATAATTCCTAATTTTTGTTTTGTTTTATTTATTTATTTTTTGAGATGGGATCTTCATACTGTGTATGGGTCTGGCTGGCCTTGAATTCACTATAGAGCCCAGGCTGGCCTCAAATCTTGCAGTAATCCTCCTGCTTTAGCTTTCAAGTGCTGGGGTTATGGGAATACTCCACCACACTCAGCCTATAATTTCTTCATTTATCTGTAGTTTCACTTTTCCAGATTGTACTTTCTTTCTTTCTTTTTTTTTTTTTTTTTTGAGCTACCGGGGATTGAACTCACGACCTTCTGCTTGTGAGGCAGGCGCTTATGCTGCTGAGCTAAATCCCCAGCACAGATTGTACTTTCTTATAAATTAGTACATTTACATGTTGGCGAAACTTGTGTGAGCTAACGTTTCATCCCCACCCCACCCTCCAAGCCTCCTGTAGCATGGCCAAAAGACGCATTTCTTGGCCTCCTGTGAAAAGTTTCTTTTTTCCTGTTTTGCCACCTCCCACAGTCCTCTCAGTTCTTTGTATCTAGGATAAGAGGGAATGGATTTTGGCCATGGCAAAAGGGTGTGAATTGGCTTTTGAAAGAAAAATTATGTTAACGGGGACAGTTTTAGAACAGAAATTTTTTTTTTGGTACCGGAGGAGGATTGAACTTACGACTGCATGCTTGTCAGGCAGGTGCTTATGTCACTGAGCTAAATCCTTGGCCGTAGAACAGAAATCTTAGAGTAGCTGAATTTTTAGTGACCCTTTAAGAGGCAGATGTAACTTATCCAAGGTATTAGAATCCAACCTAACAAGTAACAAATTTCAAAAATTAAAATGAAAGCCACTGGGAAAATAGATGGCAGGGTTGTGTCTATCACAAGCAAAAGAATAAGCAGAAATCTATTTCAAGCCTCCTAAGCCAGAATCAAAGTGAGAGGCACACAGCCAAGAGAAGGGTGAGCTGCAGACTGTGGCAGACGTGGAGGGGCTCCAGCCTCAAGGAAGGTGATAGATACCCTGTGTGTTCACGTTGTCTCGGAGCCCCTTCGGGAAGGCTGCTGGTTCAGGCAGCCCTGGGTCTTCCCAGGAATCTTTCAGCTGCCCGGATAGGATGGTATCAGATATGGTTGTGGGAGGTGAAGATGCCTAGGGGGGCTGCTTCTGTCCCTGGCCATGCCTGTTATATTATCTGCTCAGGTGGCAGCTACAAGAAGATTGGCTACTATGACAGCACCAAGGATGACCTTTCTTGGTCCAAAACAGATAAGTGGATTGGTAAGTTCTCTACTTAGCCTTCCCTCCCACTTCTCTAATCAAGGAAGATAGTCTTGCATTTAAGTGGAGGTGGGGTGGTGGGTGGTGTGTGCTGTTGGGGGAGACGCAGCAGGTAGCTGCGAGACAGGCTGGTGTATCTGGAGAGGGCAGAGATGTGTGTTGTGCTAATTTTAGACAGTGCTACGGACACTGAGCGTGAGGCAGAGAGCAGGAAATGGAGGCACCTTTGGATCTCCAGGTACCCTGGTGCCTTGGGACGTCTAACCAGTTACTTAAAGCCTAGAGCTGCCTCTGTGTTTCTTGGTCATGAACATGGTTATTTAGATTATAGGAGAAGACACAAAATCTCTTATCGTAAATTTTACTGTGTATGTGTTTTTCCCCCCATACGCTATTTATTCACTTACTTTGTTTTTTTCTTTCTTTTTTTTGTATTGGAGATTGAACTCAGGACTATGCACTTGCAAGTCAGGCACTTATGTCGCTGAGCTAACCCCTTATTTCGTTTTTTTTGAGATTTTTTTTGTCTTGCTATAAGGTTCGGTCCGGCCTTGAACTCACAGTGACCCTGCTCTCTGCCTCAGCCTCCCAAGAGGAGAGCTGGGGTGACAGGTGTGCATCACCACACTCGGTGCCATGTTCTTTTAGAAGAGAGAAAGCAAGCAGTTATTCTTGGTGTTTGCAAAGCGCTGAGTGATAAGTGGGATGATGTGGAGGTGGGCCGAGGGGTCGCTGATGGAAGCTGGAGGATGTGACATAACAGCCATGGAGACAGCTGTCTGCTGGCCCAGTGAAACCCAATCATTCCCAGCACTGCTGGAGTTCGGCTTTTTATGTTTTTTTATTTGAATTTAGGACAGTGTTCTGTACTGCTATAAATGCTGTGTGGCCTAAATTAGTTTTTTTTTTTCTTTAAGCAAATTGAAATTAGGTTTTTCAATGAACACTGACAAATTTGAACTTCCCTTAATAATAACTGTAAAACACATTTGGGAAATCATCTTACATGGTTAGAATTTCAGATTAGTTTCTTTTTGTTTGTTTTGCCTAAGGTTAGGAGGGCACAGTAGATACATTGAGGCTCCTGTAGCATCCTGAGTGGATTATTGTCTTTTACAGCTTTTGATTTGCAAAAGACCTCATTAAGTTTATTTTTCAACTGTTCCCTTTTTGTGCTCTCATTTTCCTTTGCTACAAGCAAGACAGAAAAATAAAGAGTCAGTAATGAAAGAGGAGACACAGAGACACAGATATAGACAGAGAGACAGAGACAGACAGAGACATGGCGAGAGAGACCACTGCTTTGGAAGCCGGCAGCATCTACTTTATCTTCTCTTCTCATTTCCGGTGGCTTCTCGAGGGCCCGTGCCAGCCAGGGCCTCCTGTTCTTAGAATAAGCACCCAGCAGCAGCCTTCCTCTTTGTCCCTTTCCCCTGTCCATCTGTGCTTCTTTGTCTTCTTTTGTCTCTTCTCCGTGCTGTCCCCTGTGCCTTGCAGGAGGGACCCCCCCAGCTGACCAAACCCTGGTCATCAAGACTTTCCGATTCCTATCACAGAAACTGTTCATCTCCGTCTCAGTTCTCTCCAGTTTGGGCATTGTCCTCGCTGTTGTCTGTCTGTCCTTTAACATCTACAACTCCCATGTCCGGTAAGTTCCTTTTGCGACATGGCCCTTGCCCCATCTGCCTTTCCAAGGTAGCCATCATGCTTTGGGCAGGGAGTGAGAGTAAAATGTGTGTGGCTCTTAATGCTGCATGTTTCCGAGCGCTCCATCCTGACCTACTGAGAATGCTGAGGGCAGAAACCAGGTGTAACTCCCCCACTGCTCCAAGGCAACCGACTGGAAAAGAACCCCAAAATAAAATAAAACCAAACCTTTGAGGCCAGGGAGCCAAGTCTTGGGCTCTGAATGAAGTGTGTCCAGTGGAGGTTCTGTGCCTTTTCCAGCCCCATGACCAGGCTGACTGTCAGGACCCTGCTCTGCACCAAGCCTGTCCTCCTTTAGTCCTGCAGTTGGGATTACATGGCATTTAGAGCTGAGCCTTCCTGAAGAAGAAGGGTAACCTTGTTCCTCTCCAACCCTTTCCCTTTCCTAGTTATATCCAGAACTCACAGCCCAACCTGAACAATCTGACTGCTGTGGGCTGCTCACTGGCGTTAGCTGCTGTCTTCCCCCTGGGGCTGGACGGTTACCACATTGGGAGGCATCAGTTCCCTTTTGTCTGCCAGGTGAGGAGGGGAGGGCAGGGCTCTCTCATCCCCTTGGAGTGCTTTCCCTGATGTGAGGTTCTCTGCCTCCTTCCTGTCTCATTTACCCCTGACTCTTGTCTTTATTCCTTCCTCCAGAGACCACCCCTCAGCACTCTCTCTGGCTTGGTCTCTTTTTTTTTTTTTCCTGGGTCTGCAGACATTTTCCATTCTGTAGTCCACTCACGTGTCTAAGGTTGCCAGGGCATGGCTTGCAGAGAAGAGGAGGGAAAGGCTGGAGCTCAAGGAAGTGTGCATAAAGAGCCCACAGACAACGGTGGCTTTTCTGTGTTGTGGGAGCTGAGGACTGGGAATGTGGGCTTCCCGTGGGAGCCTTAGTGGGGGTTTGGAAGAACAAAGGGAGAAACTAACCTGATAGCAGAGAAGTCAGGGATAGGAGAGGGAGGAGGAACACTGTCACACAGGGAAGAGCCTCTTGGATTGTTGGTATCCAGAAAGTTGTAGGAAAAGTATGGCTTGAGCAGTGATACTTGAATGGTTGTCTATGATGCTGTAGGCAACACTTACTTTCCCCTCAACTCCACCCACTTGTACGTTTCTTCCCTGCGCCCCTGTTCCTGTCTTGATTGTGTAGTGTGCATGTGGCATTTGCACACACATGTACATGCAGTTCATCAGGAATTACTTGTTTCCAGTGAGATCAGAGTGCAGTTACAGGAGCAGACAACTAGCTGCAATGCAACAGGAGGGGTATTAGAGTAGAGATTTGCAGAAAGTGCTGTGGGAGGAAAGAAGGAAAGCAGCTCACAGTTGTAGTGGTTGAGTGGGCCTCACAGAGGAAATGGTGTTTGCATATCAAAGGATGCTTGTGAATCTGCTAGCTGGGAAAGAGGAAAGATTACTCGGGAGCATAGGGAACATAATGTGGCTTACAAAAACTAGAGCGAGTTGCTGAGGAAGGGTAGTTCAGCATGGCTGGACTATAGGGCAGGTAAGCACCTGACAGTGGAGCTCTGGAGGTGTTTGGGCTATAAGCCATAGGCATTGGCGTGGCGTGATCAGGAGGTTTCGTAAGGTGACACTGGTTGGGTAGAAGGTGAGTGCTGGAAGAATTACCAAAGGTAGGGAGGCCAACTCCTGTCCCACTCTGTCCTTGGCATATATTTTATCCCCTGCTAGCTGTGTCCTGCCTGTCTTGTCATCTGCTGCCTGCTCACACTCCCTCCTGCATCTTATCCATCCTCATCACAGCCCATTTCCTGCCTGCCCTGTTCTGCCCGTATGCCTCATCCTTTCAGGCGCGCCTCTGGCTCCTGGGTCTGGGCTTTAGTCTGGGCTATGGCTCTATGTTCACCAAGATCTGGTGGGTCCACACGGTTTTCACAAAGAAGGAAGAAAAGAAGGAGTGGAGAAAGGTGAGTGGTTTACAGTCCCTGTCCCTGCTCCTTGGCTCCTCAGGCTCTAGATTTCCCCTTAACCAGCCTGCTCTGAATGTTTGCTCAGACGCTGGAGCCCTGGAAGCTGTATTCCACAGTGGGACTGCTGGTAGGCTTGGACGTTCTTACTCTCGCCATCTGGCAGATCGTGGACCCCTTGCACCGCACCATCGAGGTACTGCTTGAGAGGAGGTGCTGCTGTCAGGAAGCTGAGCAAGGTTCACTGCACATCAGTGTCCCAGGCTTTGCATGTTCTCAACTACAAAGCAGCTCGTTGAGATAGTGCTCTTGGCCTTCTGCCACATAGTGGCTGTCTTAGTTTTCTCTCATTGATGGGACAAAATACTCAGCACCCCAAATTAAGGAAGTGAAGGTTTATTTGGCTCACAGTTTGTCCACACAGACAGGTTTCAGTCCATAATTAGCTGGCCTCTGGCAGGGTGGCATGGAGCAGGGATGGCTGTTCATGGATGCAGCAGGTAAAAAGGCAACAAGAGTCAAAAAGGGAAGAGCACGTCTCCTTCCCTCCCTTACACTGCACCTGTCCCTGAGTGGGTGCAGCGCTCACACTGCCAATCCCAATGCTAGAACCGATCACAAATGCTAGACTCAGCTGCCTTTGAAAGACCTGCCTTCCATGACCACTTGAGGCTTTTGAGGCTTTTGAGTTAAATGCTGCAAACCATAACAGTGACTTTCCCACTCCTTCCTAGAAGGAATCCCATCAGAGCCTCTAGATTCATTGCAAGGATCAAAGTGGTGGAGATTAGGGAACGCTATGTAGAATTTCCTTGCATTGGAAAAGGAGGGAACAAGCCCTTCTAGGGAGTTCAGGAAGTGTTTCCAGGTCCAGAGGAACAGAACTTGGCGTCAGTGTTGATGATCTCTTAAGAGCGAGCTAGTAGGGCTGAGGTCAGAGGTGGAGCAGGGGAGGATGGAAGTCATCTTTCTTGTGGTCCTTTTTCTTCTTCAGACTTTTGCCAAGGAGGAACCAAAGGAGGACATTGATGTCTCTATTCTGCCCCAGCTGGAGCACTGTAGCTCCAAGAAGATGAATACGTGGCTCGGTATGTGGGATGCAGGGGAGAGGAGGGAAGGATGGCTGGAAACACAGTCGGTCTGGTGAATGCTAGGTCAGCACGCTGCCGCTGAGCCATGTGCCTGGCAGTGGGTCTGGAAGGAGAAGCGCCTTTGAGAGAGATGGAAGGGAGCTTGTCAACCCAGTTTAAATGTCTCTGTCTTTTCATTGCACTGCTGTTTCCTGAGAACAGAGGAGGGTTGCTCTTGTGGTTCCCTCTGACCTTGTTAACATTGCTCTGATCTACAACTTCAAATTGCAAATCTACCTTCAGCTCAGTGCCTATCCTCCTGCCTGGAGGGGAAGAGGTGAGGATTGTGCGGGCCTCCACTGGCCCATTATTGGTGTCCATCAGGCTTCTGCCTGCCTGACAGCTGCCTGAGGACCACCATCTTCCTGTGTGATGTAGGACTCCTCATCCCAGCAGGATGGGATCAGGTCTAGGCCAGGGTGGGTCACAGGAGGCGGGGGTGCACTAGATCAGAGAGGCTGGGTGGGAGAGGAAGGCTCCTTCCTGTGGAACTGCAAGCAAGGGGAGTGGTAGATAAAAGACGAAGAGGATGAGGACTGAGAGCAGTGGAAGTTTGGGTGCCCCAGTGACCCTTTCCTGCCTCTCTAGGTATTTTCTATGGTTATAAGGGCCTGCTACTGCTGCTGGGAATCTTTCTTGCTTATGAGACCAAAAGTGTGTCTACTGAGAAGATCAATGACCACCGGGCTGTGGGCATGGCCATCTACAATGTGGCGGTGAGCTCCCTGGATTCCAGGCATTGACCCTGTAGACTGCACAACAGCTAGGCGTGGTGCACTGGGAAGAGCTGCACACTAGATCTAGAATCAGTGGCAAGGAAGTCTTGACAAGTTTGTTAATGTTAGACATATAAAGCACTTCCTAAAATGTCCTACTGCCTAATCATTAGTTGCTCAATGAAGTAGGTATTAGTATCCCCAATTTATAGGTAAAGAGAAAAACAGAATTGTGAAATCAGAGTTCTGTGGTTCATGGATGGAACCTGCATGGAGATTTCCCTAGAAACTGACTTTGTGTGTGTGTATGTGCGCATGTGTGCCTGAGCGTGAGCAAGAGCACACATGTGTCTGCTGGTGGAGAGATTCTGGGAGTTCCTGTCTTGGGGGAAGGGTGGGAAACTGGTTCAGGATAGTCTGTCTGGGATTTTTCTCAATCTAGTGGAGGACAATCCTGCTCCTGGCAAGTTCCCCAGCACCCTATCCTCACAGGCTGTGCTATGGGGGAAGGAAACCCCAGATTCTGTCTGTCTGCAGGTTCTGTGCCTCATCACTGCTCCTGTCACCATGATTCTAAGCAGCCAGCAGGACGCGGCCTTTGCTTTTGCCTCTCTGGCCATCGTGTTCTCTTCCTATATTACTCTGGTTGTGCTCTTCGTGCCCAAGGTAATTTTTCAGCCTTTCTGCTGCCTGCTTAGTGTCGTGTCCCTTCACACCAGGACTCTTGCTTGTTCCTCCTGCACTGCACCTTCCTTCCACTGCTCCTACCCGTGCTTCAGGCCCTGCTTGTCCCCGTTCATGCCTTTCACCTGCCTCACAGCCCCTGCTCTGCCGCTTTTGCCCAAATGTTTGTCCCCAGATGCGCAGGCTGATCACCCGAGGTGAGTGGCAGTCTGAGGCCCAGGACACCATGAAAACAGGGTCATCCACCAACAACAACGAGGAAGAGAAGTCGCGGCTCTTGGAGAAGGAGAACCGTGAGCTGGAAAAGATCATTGCTGAGGTATGTGGTGAGGGCAGGATCCGGGAGGCCTGTGTTTTGGGGCTGGGTTATCTAAAATAGAGCCTTGGACTGGGAGTTCAGGTATTTGTGATTTGTGAAGGGAAGGCTTTAGGACAAACCCTGCAGGGGAGTTTAGTGCAGTAGGACCGGGCAGGGGAAAGATTTGAGTGAGATTCTGCTTTAAGTAAGTTCTTGATTTAATGCATTGGAAGCCTCTGGCAGTGACAGTTTTGAGCTGTTATTGGCCAGCATTCACAGCAGCCTGATGCCAAGTATACCCATAGGAGAGGGCACTGGGTAGCGCCCAGCATTCATGCTGCCCTCTGCAGCAGTTAGGGGCACTTGCAGCGTCAAGAGACGGAAGGTGGTTGACATAAATTTGTATGCACTGACTTATTTCTTCTTCATTTTCTCCTTTTCTTCAAACCTCTCGCTTACTTCCCTGGCTTCCTTTGGTACCCCGTTGTATTCTTTGATTTTCCTTGCTCTTTTCTTGGTTCCTCCCCTTGGTTTCTGCTGACTCCTCCCTCCCCGCCCCTTCTGTGTTTCCGCCTTCCTCCTCCCTTCCCTGCTCTCCTGCCTGTGCTGCTTCCTCCAGAAAGAGGAGCGGGTCTCTGAACTGCGCCACCAGCTCCAGTCTCGGCAGCAGCTGCGCTCCCGGCGCCATCCCCCAACGCCTCCAGACCCTTCTGGGGGTCTACCCAGGGGGCCCCCTGAGCCCCCTGACCGGCTTAGCTGTGATGGGAGTCGAGTCCACTTGCTGTACAAGTGAGGGTGTCAGGCAGGAAGGCTGGCGGGGAAGGGAGCAGGGAGCGGGCGGGAGGCCGGGGAGGAGGTGAGTGTCTCTGTCCCAGGCACGTCCCCACCATCTGAGCCCACATGTTAAACACCTGTGCCTCAGGAATACTGGTATTATTTGGGTCTCTAATACTCTGAGAAATAGACCTTTTTGTGTCTCATTCATTCATATAATCTGGTATCATTACTTCATAATGAAGTTTGTATTTTACCTAGAGCTTCTCACACACGCTCCTTGGCAGCCTGGTCATTCTGTCTGTCTAACAACTTGTTGCTGTCATTACCAGGCAGCCTCCTGCCCTTTGGCTTCCCATCGGCGGGGGTCCTCTTGCCACCCTGTTGCTCTCACCCTCATAACCTCCTTTTGTTCCACTTTCTCTTCCACACATTCCCATTTGTTTTCTCCTTAGTTTTTCCCCTCTGAGGGCTCGTTCTGCTCACCAAGGCTCACTGTGTGTGTGTGTCCATGCTACGCAGCACGTGTATCCTCCCGCTCTCCCCCTGGGCCTGCGGGGCATGTTCCTGTGCACGCATGTCCTTCCATAAGCTTCTCCATGTGTGGTCCATGTGCTCGCCCTGAGCCCTGCGCTAGCTGTGTGTGTCCCTCGCATGGTCACAGCTTTGCCTGTGTCTTCCCTGCCTGTACACATCTGTGCTCGCCTGTCTCCTCCTTCGCCTGAAGAGCATTGTATTCCACCAGGAGCCTGTGTAGCACCCTGTGCATTGTTATGACTCTGACCCTCTGCTGGGCTCTCATACATACTGTTTCCTCCTCATACTCCGTGTCTGTCCTGCATCTTCATTGTGTGACCCTTGTCTGTACTCAACAGACATCCTCTCCCAGACTGCTCCCTTTCATTGAGTGCATATATGAGGGAGCTAAGGGTAAAGAATGGGGGCAGGTTTGGAGATGCTTCGAGTTGATGGATGGTGGAATCATGACCATAGGGAGGCACCTTGGACCATCGGGATGAACAGATGGACTGATGGGGCGATGGATGGTGTCCCTTTCACACTGGTGTCTCTTGAAGAATCTTCCCAGATCTCAATAAACCAGTAGACAGTGTGACTTGGCACCTTACCCTCTGTTCTGTGAATGGCAGGCTCCAGTCCACGGAGGGAGGCTTGGAGGGCTCCAGGTTAACAAAAAGGCTTTGAAGGGACGGAGTGGAAGCAGTGTTTCATTGGTCCATTAAGGGCTTAGCAGGGCAAACCAGGATATAACTAAGGCTGGGTGGGTGAGTGATGATGTCAGTAGCAGAAGTGTGGGCTCTGGAGTTGGAGGCCAGGTGTCACATCTGGCTACAGTGCAAGAATTGCCTTGATCTCTTGTTCTTTATGCCCTAATTTATGAAGAGTAAAGAATACAAATCATAACAGTAACTACACATTACTTCAAAAAGTGGAGGCAAGGACCAGGTGGTGCATCCAGGTGCCTGGATTGTGCTGGTCCAGGTATATGTGGCGTAACTGTTAATCTCTGGCACTCGTGTTTGATGAATTCTCTACAGCAGCAGGCATGCACTGGAAGCCTGGAGCAGGTGGCTGAACAGATGTGCAGGTGCCTTTCCAGGAAGTAAGAACAACAAGGAGATGATGACTGCTAGAAGGTTTTGAATGAGATGGCCTGCAAGCGTCTCCAGCTGTACAAATATTTGCCTAAGAAACTCCAAGCACCTTGGGAAGAATTTGTGGTTGAAATAAAGGGTTTTGGATAGCTGAGGGAGAAAACAAGTTGCTTGGACTTTGGACAACATACTTTTTTTGTCTCCTTTTGATTTTTTTTTTTTTTGCATGTTTTTTTGATAATGGGATCAAATTTAAGACCTTGCACTTGCCAGGCACGCACTTGTGCTTCTGAGCTATGTCTTCAGCCCATGACGTGTTTTTTTCATAGCTCACTTTGGTACTGAGTTTTCGGTGACTCACTTTTTTTCTCTCTCTCCCTTCATCCCTCTTCCTCCCCCTCCCTCCCTCCATACTTCCTCCCTCCTTCCTTCTTTCCTTCCTATTGCAGTAGAACTTCAGGGATGGGCCCTGTTACTGTTCTGTGTATGGCCAGGTTAAATGTTAGGCCAGTATTGGAAAAGCATTCCACTATGATTGTCTGTATTGGAACAATTGTGTTTGATTTGGGTTTCCATTCTCATAGAGGAGTAGTCTTAACCTGCTGTGTGCAGACTGAACAGCTGGCTTCAGAAACAGCAGCAGGAATAATATCCAGTCCTGGATAGAACCTAAAAGTCATGAATTATCACCTCAGACTTAGGTTGGAGTTAGGTGGGATGTGAATTATAAATAAAGGACCGGAAATTCTACTGTGGCTAAAGGTGAGCCGGATACTGTGTGAGCAGGAATGTAAGAACTGGGCCAAATGGTAGGGCTGGCAGAGATGCTTGGTACAAAGGGCATGAGGAGGGCCTGAGTTACTGGGTGGCAAGGCTACTGCTCAGCAGCTAGGGAAGAATGGTTATTGTACTGTGAGGTAGACCCTACCTCACCAGTGCCACCTTGGGGTAGGGCATTGCCCTCAGGCTTCAGGTCTGCGTCAGTCTTGGAACATCCTGTACCTAACTGCCTGCCAGGCTATACTGCCCCCTCTTCCCTGTATCGGCCTGTCCTAGTCCCAGTCACTTAGAGAGTGTTGGTGAACGTTTCCTGCTGCATGACTTCTGCTGTCCTTGCAATCTCTCAAGTGGGGATGAGGCAGATTACCAAGGGAGGCACTGGGGTAGAACAGCGAGCAAAAATGGACTTTTGTGGGATGTATGTGCTCAAGATAGGTCGGTGATGGCCAGTAAACAGATGAATAAATAGACAAGGCCACTTAGGATCTTGGAGTACTGGACATTTCTGTTGTAAGAACCTTTTCTTTTCCCTTCCCTTTCCCTTCCCCTTCCCCTTCCCTCCCCTCTCCTCCCCTCCCCTCTTTTCTTGGTACCCACCCAGGAATAGAGAATTGAACTCATGACCTTGTGCTTGCTAGGCAGGTGATGTCCCTCTGAGCCATATCCCTAGCCCTGTTTCATTCTGTTGTTCTGGTGTCCAGGACTAGGAGAGGGGATGGTTAGTATTCTCATTATCTGGCAAGAAGACTGCAGCTCAGGGAAAGGAAGAACCTTAAGGAGTGGAGCCAGATTCCAAATATGTGCATTATTAATTACTGCTTTACCTGTTGGCTTTCATGCTGTCTGTGAGTCAGAAGTTTAAACATGCTGTGGGGACCATTTCTACTGCTCCATCACAGCTGGAAAATTGAAAGGCTGGATGCTAGAGTCCTGTGAAGAATCCTCTCAGTATCCAAAGGTGGCTAATGGCCCAGCTGAGACTTCAGCTGAGACTCGTGGGCTGGAACCCCTACATGTGGCTTTTGTGTGTGGCCTGGAATGCTTTATAATATGGTGACTGGATTCCAGAGGCGAGTAGGGAGGGAGACCAAGCGAGAGTGTGCACTGGGGGGTCAGCTAGGGATCTTTTTTTCTGAAAATGCCTCAGAAGTCACGTGGTATCCTTTCTGTTATACTCCATGGGATTGGGTAGTGACAGGCTATGGCAGGATCCAGGGATAAAAGCAGATTGTCACACTGCAAAAGCGTGGTATGTGAAATGGGATAAATCTATTTCAGGCTTCCTTGGAAAAATGATTCACCTGCTCCAAAGCCAGTGTTTGCTGTTCTCCATTGATCACCCTACTTGTCTTCTGGCATTGAACCTTTTTTTCTGACCCTTAATTTCTTAGGTAGCTTCAGGGTCAGCTGTTGTTTCACACCTAGAGTCTTCTGTCTTCTGTGCTGAAGATGGTCCTGCTGTTGGGGGACTTCCACTATCCATGTTGATTTTTAGGCCACTGTCTTGGTAACTTTTCTCTTGTTGAGACAAAATACCCAACGCTCAAAATTAGGGAAGGGAAGGTTTATTTTACAGTTTTGGAGGTTTTGTGCATACTCAGCTAGCTGCAAGGCAGGTGGCATGGTGGGGCTGCTGTTTGTAGCCCCTGCAAAACAGCAAGAGTGAACTGTGCAAAGGAGAAAAGACACCTTCTTTCTGCCCTTACACTATGACAGCTCCACCCCTGGGAGGTGGGCATAGCATTCACACCATCAATCCCAGTGCTAGAGAATGAACCAATCACACACACTGGATTCAGCTGTGTCCATGATTGCATGAGGCTTAGGGGGTGGTCATCTGAACACAAACCAAAACAGCCACTAAGGACAGGAGCCTGCATATTCATTCAGGCTTTTGAAAAAGGGAATTTTGCTACTTTGCTCTTCATTAATTTAGGAAAAATATGGGCATTATGTCATGTGATATCTGCCCCTGAGAGAAGTGATGTTAGTGTGTGTAACCAGCCACCATCGTGTCCAGTGATATGGCCCCTGGGGAGACTCCTGCAGGAGGAGGGCTGTGCTGTGGGGTAAGGGTGCAATCTATGTGAACTGGCACTGCTGGGGACTGGTGTGACAAAGTGAGGACCATTTGTGTAGCATGCAAGTGTGTTTTCATGTGTGTGTCAAGCAGCACATATGGATTAAGACAATGTAATAGGAACCAGAAATGAAGACAAAGTGATGTTGACAGCACACTCATAAAAAGCAAGACGAAGTTAAGGTCTGATTAACTTAGTACATGAGTCACTCTCAAATTCTGTTTATTGTTTATATGTAATGAAAAGAAGAAAAGCTGCTAGCTCTGAGTCTTAATCCCACTCACCAAAAAAGATGACATGGATACAAAAAGGACCGGATGCCTGCAGTACCACTGTGCAACACCCCATTGATGAAGAACCAGTACTAGACCTCGGCTGAATCGCACTGTATTTGCAGCTGTATCCCAAAAGATGTGAGGCCAAAATCCTGATGTCCATCAGAGCCTGGGAGACCTGAGGAACTATCTCATGATAGTCTCCCAGGGAACATGAGGAAGAGAATGTGAGGTGGCCTGAAAGTCCTAGTATTCTAGGAGGATCAGAGTGTCCTCCACATCCTCAGATTAGTTGTCGCTGAAACGTTGCTTGTGTGTCCCATGTAGATAGGCACATGGTCTCCAGAGCACCATGATGGAATGAGTCCTCTACACAGACATGACAGTTGAGATCAGATAACACAGCCAGTGAGTGTGACAGAGTTAGGAAATAATCTGTGGAAGCAAACACAAAAACAATGAAAAGAGGAATACTGAAAACTGACAGGCACAGTAGTTTTAGAATTTAAGTTATTTATGGAGATACGTACCCTCCCTTTCTTCGGTATTCTGTATCTGCCTTTCTCTGTCTGGTAGCAAAAATCACACTGACCCTGCAGTGCCTCAGATATGTGGCCTGTAGACTCAACCTTTTTATACATCATAAAAAATTTCTTAGTACAGAATTGCAGGTTGCCGGAGTGGTGGCTGTCATCACTGGCCTTGGCCACTGGCACCAGGGTCAGGATAAGGATGTGAGGGACTTGAGGTCACTGGAGGTGTGGGCCTGAAGCTGAGGCCCACTGCTTGTACTGGTTGGCTTTCTCTGGGATTATGGTGTTTCATGGAGAGCAATGAGGTGATGCTGATCATGACCCTGTAGTGGCTGCCTGCAGCTTTGTTGCAGCTGGAGCAACAGTGGATAACAGGAAGAACAAGGCCCTGACCCTGTTACTGCTGGACATTATTCTGAGGTGACTGTCCTGGCTCTGTGGTACGGTCCCTGTATACTGGCTGTACGTTGACCAGATGCTGTGGAAGGTAGACAAGGTCAGCTCTGAAGGGCCCTGGGAGCTGGTGCTGCTGGTCCAGTTGCATAACCAACTCAAATACTTCAGATGCTGTTGGACTCACTTTGATGAAGCTAGGGCATTGATAGCCTCATGTAGTTTAGCCATGTCTTCTGATCTACTGAGATCAATCAGCTGGTCTCTGGGGTGGATTTCTGGCCAATTCTACAAGTATTCTTTCAGCATTCAGTTGTACCACAATGGGATCTCAAACAGTGACCCCAGAGACTGCATCCAGAGACCTGCAGTATGCAGCTTTGGCATTGGGATGCATCAGTGCTGAGTATCCCAACTCTTCCTGCCATTACAGAGA